AAAATCACTCAAATTGTGCAGTTCAGGGAGTTGTGGGGGAGGGAGGGCCAGTGGGCAAGACCAGGTCAGGTCCATTGCTCGTTTACGCCATCTGAACGTAATTCTAGATCTCATGGGAAAGGCTAATAGGCGAATTCTATCTCGTCAAGAGGGCGCAGTCTTGTCACACTGTCGACTGAGCCCTCATCTAGCTCTTTCAATCCTGAAACCGTTTCCTGGTAATATAAAAACAACTTGTTTATTTAGAGTGCAGTCGTCTGCACTGTCCCCCTGGACAGCCTGGTAAGGAAGGAGCTCCTGGGCTTGATGGTGAACCAGGAGGACCTGGAAAGCCTGGAGCTCCTGGAGTTGACGGTGAAGACATTGAGTTGGACCCCATGGTAAGCTCTTTTTACTATCAATGCCCTATCATCAGAATTGGTTCTTAAGGTGCAACTTGAGAACCTAAATACACATTCTGCGATAATCGAATGAACGAAGACTCGTGAACGTCGCGCTTTCCTCAATTATGTGCTTCACTTTGCCAGTTAAGGAGAAGGTGAACGGTCTCGGTAGGGGGTGAGACCTTGTGGCGCGGCAGTTCTTAGGGGGCTCTCTTCGGTTAAACGATTTCATGAGACAGCGCCTTACTTAGTGGGAAGGGGGAGTTCAAATTCAGTGATGTAAGTGGCAAACTTGAAAGTTTTACTGTATTTTAATTGTGAGTTGAGCAAATTGATGATCTCGGTCACAGACTGGTCAGACGTTTAGTGAACGTCTGACTGCGCCAACCTTCTAGTTGCCTTTCTTGCACCCCCTTAGACGCATATTACACCGTACAAGTGCACAACATCAACTGAAACAATGTTTTGACGTGCTCGTTGCAGTCCTTTCTTTCAAAAATAGTTGTTCAGCCGGATATGCCGTGCAGGATTTGTCCAGCTGGCCCGCCCGGCACTCGCGGTCCACAGGGTGAACGCGGCCTCAACGGAAAGCAGGGAACCCCAGGAACTGCAGGTGGGAATTTCGCCTTTTCCTTGGCCTTCCCTAGACAAATAAGGAAATGTTCAGGTGAGCCAGGAAATCCCGGTATTCCTGGATCCGGTGGTACACCAGGTTTCACTGGGCATGTTGGCGCTCCTGGTGACAGAGGCTTCAAAGGTCCACCAGGCGATAATGCGATTGGTAAGTGCGTTAAGGTGGGAATGTGAGAAAGAGTTATGCAAAATATTGTATTTTTTAGCTGGTGAAGGAGTGAAGGGGCAACGCGGAGTACCTGGTACTGCAGGTACGAAGGGGCCACCTGGAACGCCTGGACGCCCGTCGAACGTTAGAGGAGCTCCTGGCGCCACTGGACCTAGAGGTGGAATTGGCAAAACTGGAAAGGTAAGAGTTCATGGTTTTATTCGAGAGTATGAAATGACAGGGATTACGGGGAAGTTTTAACATTCCAAAGGGAGAAAATTGGAAAATAGGATGAATATCTGGTGGGAAGTGCACTCAGTAAGTAGTTGGGCTGACTTCTAACCTTCAACTGTTAGGGTAGTCATTTTCACTGCGGATGACGAGCCAAGCTGGGTTTGGCGCGGCGCCAACCCGTTTTCCATCAACTGTTGTCGTTTGACTTCTGCTACAATTCTCGGAGAACGTGGTTGGCGCGGCGCCAGACACAACGCCCTTGAACGCCCCAGCACCTGCAAGAAACAAGACTGAACATCTAAGAGAGGAGAGTAAGCAGCCGTGGCTGGGAGGCCTCGTTTTGCCCTCAGGCATGGAGAGTAAATGCTTTGAGTAGCAATCCAACTCGATAGCTCTCCTTCTGGTTTCTTTAGCCTTTTTGTGAAGATCGA